CAAGAAATTAAGTAAAGAACAGTGTGGAAATAAAAGGAAATGATGATAATTCTGTCAAAAAATCCTATTTCGTGCAAAATAGTCAGGCCAAGGCCAATATTTTGGCCGACCGGCTAATTTGTCCAAAAACATGGCATTTTCAGCAGAATTCTTATTTAATGCATGTGGGACATCCCACTATTCTATTTTTTGATCCATTCATGCATGAAATGCATATACATTCAACCTCCATTGCATAAAGGACTTGCCTCTTCAAAAAAGATAGGGTTAAAGCAAGCATCAATCATTTCTCTTTATTTTCCATTAACCATTGTCTTGCATCTTGTCCTCCACCTTGTCTTCCACATTCTCCTCCACTTGCATTGCCTATACAAGAACATCTAATTGTTGGAGAGGGGAGAGAGATTGATAAAAAGAGAAGTCTTGCTTGAATTAAGAGTTGGTTGAAACTTTCATTTTTGTAGTTGTACACTGTTATAGCTCATATTTCATTACCAAAACCATCCACAAACTCATTGTAATCAAATTCTAGAGCTTTGATCAAAGAAAGAGTAATATTTGCCAAGTTTGAGAAAAATCAGTGAGTTAACCATTTTCCACCATACATTCTGTTAAACAATCCCAAAACACCATTATAGCTAAAATTCCAAGTTTTTGAGTTGAGGATTGAGAGCACATTTCATACACTTGAGGGTGATCAAAAGAGAGTTTGGAAATCAAAAAGTTCGTCCTTTTCTTGGAAGGTGAATTTTCAAACTCTTTCATTTTCTTGCATTTTTTTTTTATTTTGTACTTAGTTTTCTTGCTTCAAATTTCATATTATAAACCTGTTGTAATCTAACTAGAAGTGGTTAGTTGAGCCACCTACATATCACTTGTTTGTTCTGTTTTGGTATTGTGACAAAACAGATTTTGCTAGGCCTAATTGGCCGGCCAGCTAATTAATTGGCCGGCTGGCCAACTTCTTCTGAGACAGAATAAAGCAGTCTTCTAATGATGAGCATAACGATTTCCAGTGGTCTTCAAGGCACATGAAGTTTTTGTTTTTCTCTTAATTTGAGAGATTTGTGAGGTTTTATTTTATTGTAATATTTTTTTCCTCTCTTCCCTTATCTCGATATGTAATTATTCGGTGATGTAATAATTTCCCACCCCCGCTTCTTTCTATCCTGCTATTTTACGTGCTTTATTTATTTGTAGATAAATATCATATTTTTCTTTTCATCATGTAACACCCCAACTTTTATTACTCAGATAATATTACCCTTTTCCCTTTAAATCAATCCATTTCAAAAATAATAAACATCAAAGATATTTAGAAAGGAATAAATTATAATGTTCTCTCTCGTGTACATGTCCACGTCCATAGACTTTAAGTCATCAATTACAAAATAACAAAATATATAAAATGGATTAACCCATTTTACAGCACATTGCCATTTCACTTGCATTTAAAATGCCCCCCATGGCCAACAATTAATAGGCTTCATTCATTCCATACCTAAAAAATGATTAGAAATAGGGGATGAATACAAAGGTCCAATAGGAATTTCAATAATCCTAAACAATAGCAACATATAAATAACTATGATTATGAATACTCCACATATATACATATAGGTAATGTGACATTTTATACTTCAAAATATACTTATATAGGTACAATTTTCCAAAACATCTTCTTTAACATAATAAGAAGCAAAGACCAGTTCTTACCTTTCAAAACTTTTCATTTGCAGTTAAAGAAATCTCAACCATTCATCACATTACCACAATCTCCTAAGATCGATCTAAATAATATACTCGGCCTACATTCCAACTCATTACGGCTACAAGGACAATTACTTTATATTATGGCCTTAAGTACAAATGTAAAATGAATATTCACAAATACATGTATATATAAAATATTTCACCGGTCACTTTGTCCTAGGTAGATCAATTTCAGATAAATATTTTATTAGCTCATGAATTAATTGAATTTATCCGGGAAAAGAAGAAGAGGAAAAATAGTTGTATACCCTTGAAATTATAGAGTCTATGATTAAGTCAGATGGGATTTTTTGGAGCAAGTACTTAGAACAATGGGGTTCAGTCAGAGCTGGATCTCTTTTTTTATGCAGTGTGTCTCAACTGTTTCATTCTCGATTTTGGTGAATAATTTTCATTCTGATTGGTTTAAACCATCTTGTCTCCGCCAAGGGGATCCTCTTTCGCCCTATCTTTTCCTCGTAATCACCCAAGCTTTTTCTTCCAGAATGGAACACTCGGCCTCGGAAGGGGTGTGTAAGGGTATTTCCATCTGTCAGCCAGCGCCATTTATTTCTCATCTATTATTTGCTGATGATTGTTTTTTTATTTCTTCCATTTCAGTAAGAAGAGATATGTTGCTTAATTGGTTCCTTTCAGCTTTTTGTGATCAATCTGGGCTTCAAATTAATTTCAAAAAGTCGGAGATGTTTGTGAGTCCTAATATGTTACCATCACATAAGAGCTTCCTAGTGGGTCTCTTGAATATTAAAATGACAGAGAAACCTGGTATCTACCTAGGAGCAATGATGGATAGGACCTTGAGGAAAGGAAATCTGTTTACTTCTACTCTACAAAGAATTAAGAATAGATTACAAGGCTGGAAATCTGCAATGCTTTCCTTTGCAGGTTGATGTGTGTTGGTTAAGCATACTCTTCTTGCTATCCCTTTATATCTCCTCTCTGTCTTTCGTGTGCCAACCTATTTTATCAAACAAATTAGGCCTGTAGTGAGCAGATTTTTGTTGCAGAATGGTAATTTTGAAGGCTTGTACTGGAAGAGCTGGGGACACATTTGCTTACCTAAATCTGTTGGTGTGTAGGGTTTTAGGGATCTCAACCAAGCTTTGTGGGTAAAAAATGCTTGGAGGTTATTGGTTGATAAGCAGCCCCTTTTCTCAAAGTTGTTCCTGGTGAAATATTGTCTTAATAAGAATTTCTTGGAAGTTAACATTGGCCCACGGTGTTAGTGGGGTTGGCGGAGTATAATGTGGGGAAGGGAGTTGATTAAAAAGGGACTAATGTGGGTGGTGGGTGATGGAAACTCAATTAACCCTTTCAAGGATCAATGGATTCCAACAGTTCCCAATCCTTTGTGTAGCTGACAAATAGGTTGTTTTTTTCCAAAATTTTAAGGTTACCCATTTCTTAGATCCTCAAGCTCACACATGGAGAGACACACTAATTATGACTTTTTTCCCTCCAGAGGTAGTGAGTCATGTACTGGCCATCCATATATCAAAACATACCGTATCTGATAAATGTGTTTGGGCACAGACTTCGTCTTTTCTTGCTCATAAACCCTCAACTTAGACTGGGAGTAAGAATGATGAATGTGGACTCTGAAGTTTGGGGAAAATGTGGCACTCATCTTTCCCACCAAAGTGGGCTCTTTTCATTTAAAGGACTTTCGAGCAGATGAGGCTTTCATATGGATGTAATTTGTGAGAGATGCAAACTACAAGAGGAAACGGTTGAACATCTCTGTTTTTCCTTGCCCAATTTCCCAAATGATTTGGCGTGGGTCTATTCTTGGGTTGGATTTTAGCATTGGATCCTCATTGTCGTTCAAGGAGTGGTTTTCAGAATGGATTGGTAATGCTCCGGATGATAATGCGATATTACAATCCATGTGTGCGCTATGGGTCATTTGGCTACAAAGAAACCAAGTCACTTTCCAGCATGCACAACCAGACCCGAGGGATGCCCTGCAGATAATTCAATCCTTGCTTTCCTTATATTATGGGAAGGGTACTAGTGTAGGGGAACCGGAGGTCAGAGGGAACGGCATGGGGCATCATCTTAATGAAGAAAATATCAACCACCCAACCTCTTTTTCTAGCACATAATATGTCCTTGGACTGCATATTTGCTATATTCATCATATTATTACGGATGGGCTTGGAGAAAAGATACTTTGCGTGCAGGAGGAACTTAGATAGCTCTGGATGCATTTGGCAACCAGGTGGTGGATAATGCCTCGGTTTTCTTTGCTTTTCGGTGGCAACTGCAGAAGCTAAAGCCTGCTTTGATGCAATCAGATGGTGTGTTGATCATAAAATCAAGGCTATTCAATTGTTAATGGATTCACAGGTGCTCATCAATGAACTATCATGAGGGGCACCCGAAGCTTGGGATCGACAAACTATTATTAAGGACATTTTGTGGCTTTGTAATGCTTTTGATTTTATATGTATTACTGAAGTTCCTGGGAGGGATGTTATAATAGCCCACAGAGAGGCAAAAGCTGCTCTCAGGTGAGGCTACAAGTTTTGTGTTTGTATGGTTACTATTCTATATATATATATATATATATTTCTGAGGGTTTCCTTAAAAAAAATAAAAAATAAAAAAAATTACAAGCAAAATGCTAGGAAAGAATGAAAGATCTGAAATGGGCTTGTCAGAATCCGAAAAACAAATATTTACTCATTTCGTATTAGTCCCTTATTTCATTTTTTATTATTCCAAAATATTAATTCATTTTCAAAAATCAAGAACTAAAATAATATAAATTTTCTATTTTGTCATTCTTTTAAATTCTTTAACACAAAAAATACAATTATGACAATTGATATTTCTAAAATAATGTACTGTTAAAGGGTAATTTTAAAAAATTAATATTTTTAAAATGCAATAATTGTACACCAAAAAAAATTTAAATTCTCCGAAAGGAACTATTATTTTGGGACGGTGGGTGTAATATATTTGACTAACTTCGAAAACAAACAAAGTCTTTTTCATCAATTTACTCTGTCGTACGCTCATGCCTCATTTGGGGAGTACAATTTTTAACTAAAAAGTCAAAAAATCACTATAAATTGTCATATTACTCTTTTTATTTTACTACACATGTTTTCGTAAAAAGCTAACTCAAGTAGTCGACTCCCAAACGGGGTCAAATAAGTTAAATTAAATTTTGTTCAACACTTGAGAGAGGCAAACAAAAATTTGCTAATCCAGAAAAACACTGCCAGGAAATTCCTTCAATATTGCACTAAAATGCTGCAAGAGAACCCAAACAAAACACCAGATAACCATAGCATAATTTTCTATAAAAAAAATAAATAAATAAAAAACATTTCATAATTCAACATCTACAAGTTCTTAACCTTTTTTCCCCTGCTTTTCCTTTCTCTAGTAATAGGAATTTGTGAGGAAATTGTCATGTTGGAGAAACTAAAAAGAAAGGCATTCATAGCTTCAATAAGAGTACACCAATGACTACTAAAAAAAACACATCTCCTTCCATTGGAGCCTACGGTCTTCCCATTTAAATCATTTGTGGATGAAGATCAGCTGCCTGCTGAGCTAGCTCTACCACCATGGCCTCATTGAAAAACTTGTTGATGCTCACATCGTCGCTCATTCCCTGCCAAAGATCAATGCAAACAACTCATCAGTCTTAAATCTATTTGTTTCCACATCAAGGGCAGTCCCAATGCACGAGACTCCCACCACAAGTCTAAGGAGGGTCAAATGTATGCACTTTCATTTGCACATTACTCATGAAATCTATATGCCAGATTCATTAACAATTACATGCATCTTTCAAGATGCATATTGCGAAAGACCAAGAAGCACAGATACTTCTACAGAGGAAGTCTGGACACTCGTAAAAATGTGTAAAACACTTCTTCAATGTGTCATAATATCTGACACTTCATAGACACTTTGGCAACACTTCTTGAACTTTCCGAACACGTCCTACGTGATGAATCCCTTAATAATAACAATATTTTGATTTCTTCATAACACAAGTCATGCACTCTAAATATGATTTACAACATTTATAAGATAAATACATCATGTGTATTGCAATATTATATAATTGGTTTGCATTCTTTATAATATAATTGTTTCGTGAATGATATCTTGATATTTAAGGTATGAAATATACAATTTTTAATATAATTAGTGTTATCTATATGACATATTATACAATTTTAACACATTCCAAACATTTCCTGTCCTGCATTTTTTTAAAATCAATATATTGGCGCATCCGTGTTGTGTTGCATGGCTGTGCTTCTTAGGCGAAAGACACTTTTGCACATTACTAGGAGAGAATCATGTCTCATGTTTCCACATTTCTTTTGTGTTCAAATCAGAAGTGCAAGTTATGAAAACTAAGACTTGGATAGCAGGAGGATGACTGAGTATATTAATACCTTTCTACGTTTTGTCTTCACCATAAACTCACGAGCCAGGTGTTGAATGGGTGCAGGCTCAAGTGGTCTTAAAACTATACTCTTGTCAAGAGGGTCACCGGGTACTATTGCCCAATGATCGAACACAGAGAGGCAGAATGCCCGGCCTTGGGTATGATACCTCAGGTCTGTCTCAAAGCCAAATGATTCGATCACAGGTAAAAATGCCTGGAATTTCAAGAAAGAAAAGGAACACAATATAAATGAAAATGATTATTCAAACAGGAGTATTTAGCTATGATGGGCTTTCGAATTTCCATGAGATTTGAATTAATGGGTAACATTATTAACAAAGGGTTAGGCATAAAATATTAAGAGGCTTAATCGTTATTTATTGGAAAAAATTAAAGACCAAACCTTGACAATATAAGCTGGGGTTCCAGGTTGAGGAACATCAGCAGTGACTTGCCCACGCCTCCGCGACAAAACCGTGTAGATTGCAGAGACACAATCTATAGGTGGTACCTGAAACAGCAATACCACATTGTTTAGTTAATTCACCAACTAGATACTTAAATAAATAAATAAAGGAAATGCAACTGTTCTGAGTTGAGACAGTTTACAGGATCCTCTATATAAGAAAAACAAGCTGATTTGATGAATCAAGGGGAAGGAATAAGATAGGAGTTGTGAACAACAGGAATTATAGAACAGAGGAAATCAGTGTGTCCACCGAGTGGAGCAAGGATGTTCTGAGAAAAATGTAAAAATCAAGAACAAATTGAGGATAGATAGTGGGGATATCAGAATGAATATTAGTGACTTGTAAAAACATTCCCAATACATTCCAAAATTGGAAGGTATGGCAGCATCTTTTAGGTATTTGTGATGAGCTGTGGATCATTTGTTCGTACATTGCCCGGTGGCTATTGCACTATGGCAGCATCTTTTTGGTCTTTGCGATGAGCTGTGGATTGCTCTGCAGGTGTGTACGCATTTGTTATTGGTTTCCTACAAAGGATTCGGAAGCAATAAGAAAGCCAAGACATTGTGGGCTTGCATCATCTTTGCTATTTTTTTGGACTACTTGGTTGGAAAGAAATGACAGGATTTTCAATCAAAAAGGAATCTGAGGTTGAAGCTATTTGGGATAGGGCAAGGCATCAGTTTGGACTTCTGTGTCTCCTCCTTTCAAGGATGCCCTTTTTTTTTCTGTTTTTTTTTTTTTTTTTAGGGATTGGGCTACTGTTTCAGCACTGATTCAGTCTCTAAAATGGTAGCACTAATGCCAGCGCAAGGAAAAAATAAAAATTAAAAGAAAACTATCACATCAGAGGTTCACTTGATGCCACATTATTAGTAGTGTATTAGTCGAGTTGAATTAGTGGTTAGAAACATTTTTTTTTTATGTTTTAGTTGCCATTCCTTCGGCTTTAGTTTTGTTTTCTTGTCCTTGTCCGAGGATTTCTTGTCCTCTTGTTTTCACATTTTATTTTTAATAATATTGGTTTTGTTGCTGTTCAAAAATAACAATAAAAAAACTACCAAATCAACAAACAGAACAACCAATTCACATCTAGAACAAATTCATTAGATGCATATTTGGTTTGGTGGTTGGAGGAGGGGTAGAACAAACATCATCCTATCTCATTTCAGAAACTAACGCAACCCAAATGGAAGGTTCGCATAGGGGTTTGGGAAGAAAGTTTCGTACATAGGGGAAATTGGGATATGGGATCGGCTGGGGGAAAGAAGGGGGTTTCGTCATAGGGTTTCCCGGATTGAGGTTCAACTACTTGCACAGAGAGAGTGTTCCATACCTTTGAGGCTAAGTTATGAGAAGGAGAGGGCTACAGGACTTCAACGGTACTGTACGGACAGCCTCCCAACTAGAGAGCCTCTTGGAAGGTCAAATTGGAGTGAGAGTAGTTGATAGAGAAAAATAGTGAAGTTTTTCAAGGTTCTCCAATGGCGGAAAAGCCTGAGAGAGGTGAGGGTTTGGAGTTGGGGGCTTTCTCCGACCAAGACAGACACTAGCGTGAGAATTCGGCAAAAACAGTGGTGTGGTGTTAACTACACTAGGCCCAAATAAACACAATTGTATTTATTTACGATTATTAAAAATTAATTTCATATTTATTTTTGAAAATTCTGTTTAAGGCGAGAAAATTTAAACTAACCAATCATTCCATCGATTGACTAGAATAATGCATAATTTTTTTTACGACTATTCATACAAGGGCCTGGCTTTGGTCCAGTCCACCATCGGACTGGACCATGCTGTTGGGCCCGTGGGGGCGCACTACGGATCCCGTTTTGAAAATCTGAACCGTCAATATGTAGAACTCTTTAATACTATATACCTGTGAAAAATCACGTTGATCGGATATCGATAGCTATGTGATCAAAATAGTTTTTTATCAACCGTTAATTTATTCACCGTCCTTTTTTTTTAATACAAAACTGATTTGATCACATAGCTATCGATATCTGATCAACGTGATTTTTTACAAACATATAGTACTCGACGAGTTCTACACATTGACGGTTCAGATTTTCAAAACGAGACCCGTGGTGGGCCCCACAGACCCAACAACACGGTCCAGTTCGATGGCGGACTGGACCAAAGCCACCCTTTATACAATACATATATTTAAATGAGACATGACGGGGGGCATTTTTAGATCATTGTACATTATTAAGTTGTTTGAGTACTGCCAAATGTTTTTTTTTTAGGGATTGGGCTACTATTTGTCACTCCTAGCGGTGGATTGTTTTATGTTTCCGCAGTGATTCAATCTCTAAAATGGTAGCACTAGAGCTGGCAGTGAAGGAAAAAATAAAAACTAAAGGCCAAACTATCACATCAGAGGTTCACATATGCCACATTATTAGTAGTGTATTAGTCGAGTTGAATTAGTGGTCAGAAACAATTTTTTTTATTTTATTTTATGTTTTAGTTGCCATTCCTTCGGCTTTTTAGTTTTGTTTTCTTGTCTTGTCTGTGGATTTCTTGTCCTCTTGTTTTCACATTTTATTTTTAATAATATTGGTTTGGTTGCTGTTCAAAAATAATAATAAAAAAAACTACCAAATCAACAAACAGAACAACCAATTCACATCTAGAACAAATTCATTAGATGCATATTTGGTTTGGTGGTTGGAGGAGGGATAGAACAAACATCATCCTATCTTATTTCAGAAACTAACGCAACCCAACTGGAAGGTTCGCATAGGGGTTTGGGAAGAAAGTTTCGTACATAGGGGAAGTTGGGATATGGGATCGACTGGGGGAAAGAAGGGGGTTTCCTCCTAGGGTTTCCCAGATTGAGGTTCAACTAGTTGCACAGAGAGTGTTCCATACCTTTGAGGCTAAGTTACGAGAAGGAGAGGGCTACAGGACTTCAACGGTACTGTGCGGACAGCCTCCCAACTAGAGAGCCTCTTGGAAGGTCAAATTGGAGTGAAAGTAGTTGATAGAGAAAAATAGTGAAGTTGTTCAAGGTTCTCCAATGGCGGAAAAGCCTGAGAGAGGTGAGGGTTTGGAGTTGGGGGCTTTCTCCGGGGACATTTCCCTAAATAAGCCAAAATACCAATTCAATTCCTAAATTAAGCCTAGTTTTGAAATAATTCTCAAAATAGGTTAAAACGTGGTTCACAACAACGCTTTCAACGTGTGTGCGCCTGTCTCGCGTGAAAATTGGGAAGTCTTAAAAGCGTGGTTACAAAATGCGCTTTTGATTAAGAAAGCGCGGTTATAAAAGGCGCTTTTAATTAATTTTTTTTCTTCTGAAATCACTGTTCTGAACCACGCTTTTATCCAAAAAAAATTTCTTCTGAAATCGCTTTTCTGAACCACGTTTTTATCCAACAAAATTTTTCTTCTGAAATCGCTGTTCTGAACCACGCTTTTATCCAAAAAAAAATTTCTTCTGAAATCGTGGTTATGAATCACGCTTTTAGCTTAAAATTTTTTTCTTCTGAAAGCGCGGTTCTGAACCACGTTTTTTGGCAAAAAAATTTTTTAGTTTCAGTTTAACTAAACTCTGAAGAAGAAATTATTTTTTTTTTGGTTTTTTTTTTTTTTTTCTGTTGTCATTGTTTTGGTGATAATGTATTTTAGAATAATTTTTTGGGTTAAAATTATTTTACTAAAACCGTTCTCATGTTAATTTTTTTTTTTTTCTCTTGTCTTTATTTTGGGTTAGAATGTGTAATTCAGTATTTTTTTTTGGTTTGACTAAAGTAAATTTATTTTATTTTTTCTTGTGTTTGTTTTGGGTTAGAAGGTAATAATGTAATTCATAAATTTTTTGAGCTTTAGTAAAGCCGTTTTGATGTAAATTTTTATTTATTTTTTTTTCTTTGTTTTGGGTTACAAGGTGTTATTCAGTAATTTGTTTGGGCTTTAATAAAGCCGTTTTCATTTAAATATATATATATTTGTTTCTTTTGTCTTTGTTTTAGGTTAGAAGGTGATAATGTAATTCATAAATTTCTTTTCACTTTACTAAAGCCATTTTCGTATAAATTTTTTTATTTTTTATTTTTTTCTCTTATCTTTGTTTTGGGTTAGAATGTGTTATTCAAAAATTTGTTTTGGCTTTACTAAAGCTGTTTTCATTTAAATCATTTTTTTTTCTGTTGTCTTTGTTTTAGGTTAGAATGTGATAATTTAATTCATAAAACCTTGAGGAAAAAACACATAAGTCTCCCACAAAAATACATAAGTAGTACAGACATAAGTCTCGGACAACAATACATTGTGGACACCATGAACTGAACACACAATACATAGATAAACATAACAGTTAGACAGACAAATATTAGCCAGACAATCTGACAAACTCATTACGGAAACACTTACTCTAACACAGACATTACATATTAATGCATGACCTAATATTGGCGAAGTGTAGACATTAACACCTAATTCGCGCTTAAATCGGTAGGTGGCTCAGAGTCCGAACAATCCGAAAGCTCAGCGTCAGAGACAAGCTGAGGATCCTCCATGATACCCTTGATAGCCGCATCATTTGGTTCTGTTTTGTTCTTCTGGGCATCCTTCTTAACTATGTATAGCTGCATATCGCGGGCTAACCTACGGCGCATTTGAGAAATCTCACATTGTAGTCTTTCACATAGTCGATCAACATTATCAGGATCTTCCTTTTGGATCTCAAAAGAACGTGCTTTTGGCACCTTTAATCGATTTTCCCGACATAATCTTTCCATTTGCACTCGCTCTATAAATAGTGTGGGCCACTTCAGAAGTCTAGCGTTTGCTAAACCATATCCTGTTTGATTATCTGATGGTTCCTCCACCAAACCACATGGATCTCGATAGTACTTGATCATGACAAAATGTCACTTCCCAAACCTATCATGATAAGCACAAGAGGCATCTAACAAAGTAAATGGTGTTTCATCTTCAGCATTGCCACTTCCTCTTTCCCATCCTCATCGTGAACTGTCACCCCTTTGCAAGTTTCTACCACCTCTGCGATTCCCACTCCCTCCCATGAACCATGTAGCCAAGCTAATTTTTTAAAACAAACGAATGATAATTCGTAGGGCGAAATGAGTTTTAAGGTTGTGTCTTCACCTTTAGTCGTTTATATAGTTGGTTATGAACAGCTTTAGAAAGATGCCCCTACATGACAATCCCACATATACGAACAAGGTATGAGTTGTCAATAGAATGAAAAAACAGAGAAAATGAAATACTGTGTACCAAGTCACGTGACTTGACAATCCATTTGCGTATATCAACAAAGTAAGGGCATGCTCACTGTAAGGTGAACAAGTTAATTCACTATTGGCATGTGACTTTCTGAATTGAGAATCACTGTAATAAAAAAATCGAGCAAAAAATTGATAAAACCAAAGCCTGTGCACCAAGTCACATGACTTGATAGTCCATCTGCATATACCGACAAAATAAGGGCATGCTCACTGTAAGGTAAATCTGTGAATTCACTGTTGCCATGTGACTTTATGAATTGAGAATCCCACATATATCAATAAGAGATGAGTTGTCACTGTAATAAAAAAATTGAGAAAACCAAAGCCTGTGCACCAAGTCACATGACTTGACAATCCATCTGCATATACCGAGAAAATAAGGGCATGCTCATTCTAAGGTAAATCAGTGAATTTACTGTTGCCATGTGACTTTATGAATTGAGAATCCCACATATATCAAATTGGTGTTGAGTTGTCACTGTAATAAAAGAATCGAGCAAAAAATCGAGAAAACCAAAGCCTATGCACCAAGTCACATGACTTGACAATCCATTTGCATATACCGAGAAAATAAGGGCATGCTCACTATAAGGTAAATCAGTGAATTCACTGTTCCCATGTGACTTTCTGAATTGAGAATCTCACATATATTAATAAGAAAGGAGTTGTCATTGTAATAAAAAAATCAAGAAAACCAAAACATGTGCACCAAGTCACATGACTTAACAATCCATCTGCATATATGGACAAAATAATGGCATGCTCACTGTAAGGTAAATCAGTGAATTCACTATTGCCATGTGACTTTCTGAATTGAGACTGTAATAAAAAATGAAGTTAATGTAGGCAATGTTGTGTTTCACTTAGCTATGCATCATTCGTTGTTACGACCAAACGTTCGTGTATTTCATTGAAAAGTATGACTATTTGAATTATTTGCTGTCATTTGGGTACAAGTCAAGTTTCTTACATTTTTGGCCTTGCGTTGATTGCTATTCTATTCTAAGAGAATCGTCAATTTCTTGAAAAAGGCATAGAAAACAATCTGTTTGTGTATAATTAATTGTAAATAGTGATTTTCACAAGCAAATCAAGTAAAACCAATTAGGTTTTAAATTTAGTTTCCCAACTAGACCAACCACTTGGCTTTGAGCTTGTTTGTCCAGCCCCCAAGTTTAGTTATCTGTCAACCCCCCATTCCTTACCAGAGTCATCATTTTGACTGGACTCCCAGGAATTGGAAGGCGACTCTTTCTTCTTTCCTGATGGAGATTGAAATTCTTTATGTATAGGATCCCTATTTCACGAGCCCCAGTTAAGGGAAGCTTTTCAC